TGCTGATGGGCATTTAGCCAGTCTCCATCTTTTTGCTATTGTGAACAGTGCTGTGATGAACATGGGGGTGCATATATCTTGCTTTTATTTCTTGAGGATATATACCAAGTAGAGGCATTGCTGAGTCATTCAGTATTTCTTTTTTCCAACTTTTTGAGAAAGTGTCATACAGTTTTCCACTGTGGTTCCACTGTCGCAGGAAGACAAGGCCTGAACAGGAGAAAGAAATCACCCCAACATCAGTGCTATTAGAGGAAGACACTTTAATGCCGGTGTAACAGCGGTAGACTAATGTTCCCCAAATGCCAAGCTCCCCGAAACAGTTTTCATATAAGCTTTATATAGGATTACATAGGACTGAGTGGGGAGGCCACCATGTCACTTTCTCGTTGCTGGTTCCTAGATAAGCAGTTTTTTGTTTTGTTTTACAAGAACAAAAGAAGCTGTTAGTTTCCTTTGTGTAACCTGATTTGCAAGTTCCAAGAAACTAACTTTCCAGAGTAGTCTGAACTTTGAGCTAGGTCTCAAAGTCTTATGGACACAGGGTCTCCTCCTCTCCTCCCTTACCACCATTTTACAGTCCTACCAGCAGTGTAGAAGGGTCCCAATCTCTTCACGCCCTTGCCAGCATTTGTTGTTTTGTTTTGGGGAGCTTTGCTATTAATGCTGGAGTAAGATGATATCTCATTGCTGTTTTAGTTTGCATCTTTCTAGTGGCTAATGCTTTCGAGCATTTTTTCATATGTTTATTGGCAATCTGAATGTTTTCTTCGCTGAATTGTCTGTTTATGTCCTCTGCCCACTTTTTGATTAGATTATTTTTCTTCTTCCTGTTGAGGCATTAAGTGTTTCATAAATTTCGGGAGTAATCCTTTGTCTGATATGTCAGTGTCAAATATTTTTTCTCAGTCTATGTGTTCTCTTTTCACTCTTTTGGTGAAATCTTTTGATACACATAAATGTCTAATTTTTAGGAGATCCCCGTCACCTATTTTGCCTTCTGTTTGTTTTCAGTTACCTTTGATAGTGTATTCATGCTATATATCAGAGCTCCTAAATTTGTCCCTGTTTTTTCATTGGTGATCTGTATAGTTTTAGGCTTTACATTTAGGTCTTTAATCCATTCTGAGGCCATTTTTTGTGTATGGTATGATATGGGTCTTGTTTCATTCTTCTGCGAATAGATTTCCAATTTTGCCAACACTATTTGTTGAAGAGACTATCTCTTCCCCATTGAATGCATTTTGGCTGTTTGTCAAAGATTAACTGACTGTAGGTAGATGAATTTATTACTGGGTTCTCAATTTTGTTCCATTGATCTTTATATCTTTTGTTTGTCAGTACCAGGCTGTTTTGACTACTGTAGCTGTGTAGCCCATAGGGAAGTGAGAGGTCACCTGCTTTGTTCTTTTTTAAATAATGCTTGCTTTTTCTGGGGGCTCTTTCCTGTCTATATAAAGTTAATGATTCATTTTTCCATCTCTTTAAAGAATGATGCTGAAATCTAGTTTGGGATAGCATTATAGCTATAGATTGCTTTTGGTAGTGTTGACATTTTCACAATTTAAGTCTTCCTGCTTTGGTAGCATAGTGGTTATGAATCAGGCTGCAAACCACAAGGTCAGCAGTTTGAAACTACCAGCTGCTCCGTGGGAGAAAGATGAGGCTTTCTGCTCCTGTAAAGATTTACAGCCTCGGACACCCTGTTCAGGGTCACTATGGGTCAGAACCAACTCCACGGCACATAACAACAACAACAATCCACAAGTAGGGTATATTCTTCCATTTCTGCATTCTATTTTGGTTTCTTGTAGTAGTATGTTGTAATTTTTTTTGTGTAGGTCTTTTGTTCCTCTAGTTACATTTGTTGTTATTGTTAAGTGTTGTCAAGTCGGTTCTGATTCATAGCGATCCTAGGGTTTCCAAAATGGAGTTGGTGAGTTTAAACTGCTGACCAACTTTGAGGTCCAGTGAATTCCCAATTATTTCATCTTTTGGGTGGCTAGTGTAAATGGAATTGATTTCTTTTTCAGAGCTTTCTTTATTTTTGTAAAGGAATCCAACTGATTTTTGTATGTTGATCTTGTATCCTGCCACTTTGCAGAAGCTATTCATGAGTTCCAATAATTTTCTTGTGGAGTTTTTGGGATTTTCTAAAAGAAGGTTCATATCACCTACAAATAGAGAGCTTTATTTCTGTTTTGCCAGTTTGGATTTCTTTAATTTCCCTTTCTTGCCTTAAAGCTTTGGCTAAGACTTCCAGCACAATATTGAATAGGAGTGGCGATAAAGGGAATCTTTGTTTGCTTCCTGTTTGCAAGGGAATGACTTCAGTTTTTCACTGTTGAGAGTGCTGTTGGCTATTGGATTTTTATATGTGCCCTTACTTATGTTGAGAAATTTCCTTCTATTCCTCATTTGTTGAATGTTTTTTTAATCAGGAATTTCAGAATCATAATAGATTTTGTCAAAAGATTTTTCTGCATCAACTGATATGATCATGTAATTTTTTCCTTTGTTTTATTTATGTGGTGGATTATATTGTTTTTCTAATATTCAACCAGCCCTGCATACCTGGTATGAGTCCTACCTGGTCATGATGTATTATTTTTTTTTTTTTTTGTATATTGCTGGATTCTATTTGCTAGATTTTTATTGAGAATTTTACACCTATGTTCATGAGAGTAATTGGTCTATAACTTTCTTTCTTAGTGATGTCTTTGCCTGGTTTTGGTATCCAAGTTATGCTTGCTTCATAAAATGAACTCAGAAGTTTCCCATAATTTTCTATATTATGGAGTAGTTTGAGTAGAATTGGTGTCAGCTCGTCTCTGAACATTTGGTAAAATTCACCACTAAAGCCATCTGTGCCTGGACTTTTGACTTGATCCATTTTTTCTATTGTTATAGGTTTGTTCAGATTTTCTACTTCAGTCTGTGTTAGTTTAGGTAGGCCGTGTGTTTCTAGAAATTTGTCCATTTCTTTTAGGCTTTCAAATGTATTAAAGTATTCAAGTACAATTATTCATAGTATTCTTTTTTTTTTTTTTTTTTAAGTTTTTCTTGTGAATTGAGTGAAAGTTTA